TCGCCGATGTGCCCGGGGCTTCCGTGTGGGGCTAGGGTAGGGCGGGGCTCGCGAAACAGCGGGAGCACGATCACAAGCACATTGTTGGCCCAAGGCCGGGTGATTGGAGTCCCGTTGGGGTCGCACAGCTGGTTGCCAACTGCTGGGTCGGTGCAGCTGTGGGGCCCCGTGGGGGCGTGTAGGTGCTCGCAGCTGGGCTGCCCGCGGTGGCGGCAACATTCGCAGGTGGACTTGCTCCGTGCAAAGGGAGGAACCTCGTGGTACCGACGGGGGGCTGGTCGGCGGCTCTCTTCTAGCGGTTGTCCCCCTGGCGTCCCTTGGGCGGGGGGAGCAGCCTCTCCTCGGGAATGCCTGCCTCGGGGTCGGTGCAGGGCTGGAGTCCTGCTGCCTGCAGCAGGCGTGCCCAGATGGCGGTGTAGACGTAGTTGGGAGGGTCCAGCCCTTGCCAAGCTCGCCGTCGAAGAGGTAGCGTCGTGGCTCACCATTTTGCGACATTGCTCGAATAGGTCCCTGGGTGCGTCGCCGGGACCGTGCAGGTATGGGTGCAGTCTGAGGACGTAGTAGAGGACTGTGGCGGAGGCAGGGTCCGTAAGTAGGGAGGTGCCTGTGGTTTGGAGCTCCTCGGCGAGTCTTTCCCAGCAATGGCCTTGGGGTAGGCTGCTGTCGTAGAGGGTCTGGAAGCCGATGGCGCGCTGGTCGGCCTTCTTCTGGGCCGTGCCGTCTTCAGAGCGCTTGTCCTGCTCGTCTGTAAGCTGTTCTTGTTCCTCCGGACAGAGATTGGGGGTCTCGGAGCCGATGGGGGCTTACTGGGCCTTGCCGTAGGTGAAGCCTGGTGCCTCGTCCAGTTGCACGTGCGCACGCACGCAGACGCACGCGCGCACGCGCGCGCGCGTGCACGCGCACACACGCGCACGCACGCACGTACGCACGCGCGCACATGCGCGCGCGCACGCGCGCACGCGCGCACGCGCGCACGCGCGCACGCGCACACGCGCACGCGCGCACACGCGCACGCGGGCACGCGCACGCGGGCACGCGGGCGCGCGCACGCGCACGCGCAAGCGCACGCGCACGCATGCGCGCACGCACACGCACACGCGCACGCACACTCACACGCACACGCACGCGCATACGCACACGCGCACGCACGCGCACGCACAGGCACAGGCACGTGCACGCGTGCACGCACACGCAAACGCACACGCACGCGCACGCACTCGCACATGCACGCGCACCCGCACATGCAAACGCACGCGCACGTGCACGCGCACGTGCATGTGCAAGCGCACGCTCACGCGCACGCGCACGCACACCCGCACACGCACACGCGCACGCACGCGCGCACACATGCACACACGCACACGCACACGCACGCGCACAAGCACACGCAGACGCACGCGCACACGCACACGCAACCGCACACACACACACACACGCACAACCGCACACCCCCACACATGCGCACGCACACCCACGCACACGCACACGCAGAAGCACATACAGACAGACGCACACAAACACAACTACCCAAACACACATGCACACAAACACACAAGCGCACGAACACAACACACAGCACACATAACCACACACATACATAGCTTCATAACGCACACAATCACACACTCACAATCACATACCCACATAAGCACGCAACCACGCAAATACACCACACAACCACACAAACACACACACATATGAACAGACAAACACACACAAAGGCACAACCACACGGACGCACAAATACAAACACATAAAATACGCGCGCAAACACGCACACACAACACGCACAAACACGTACGCACGCACGCACGCACACACGCACGCACGCACGCACGTACACACACGCACGCACGCACGCAAACACACACACACACACACATCGCACACACACACACACACACACGCGCACGCACGCAAGCACACACATCACACACGCACGCACGCACGCACGCACGCACATATACACACACTTACGCACACGCACGCGCACGCACACACGCACACGCACACAAACACACACACACACACACACGCACTTCTACCTGTTTACAAACGCTTTTTTTGTATTGGTAGTTTCAGGTTATCTAATGGCCTTCGGCCCATCCCGACACCGTGCCTGGGTTGTGGGCCAGAGTTCTTAGTGCTGCTTCTTGGGGTCTCGTCGGAGCGCTCTCGTGGACCTCTTGGGGGCAGTTTTGGGGCCTCTTGCGAGCCTCTTGGTCAGGCGATCGTAAACATGGATTAAGGGGGTGTGGATTAGCGACGGATCCCGTTTCCATGGGAAACCGCGGATTGTCGCCGCCGAACGAGGCAGCACCGGCCGCATTTTGGGGAGGGCACCTCGCCCCCTCCCCCGATCCATGGATTTGGTGACCTCGCGCCAAATCCATGGATCGTTAATCCATGTTTGCGCGTCCCCGACTTGGGGGCCTCTTAGGGGCATCTTGGGGGCCTCTTGGGGGCCTCTTGGGGCCTCCCGGGGGCCTCTTGGGGGTCTTTTGGAACCTCCTTGGGGGCTCCTCGGGGCCGAGGACTCGATGTGTTCGTTCGGGTCCCCCATCTGGCAGCCGTCCTGGGGTCCTCTTGGGCCGTCTTGGGGCGCTCGTGGGCCGTTTTGGGGCCCTCTTGGAGGCCTCTTGGGCCGTCTTGGGGCGATCTTAGGGGCCTCTAGGGCCGTCTGGGGACGGCGGAAAGCCGAAAAGGTGAGAACGCCAAAAATTGTCAAAAACCTGCGGGAACTGAATTTGGCCTCTTGGGGCACTCTTGGGGGGCCTCTTGGAGGCCTCTTGGGGCGTCTTGAAGGCCTTTTGGACCGTCTCGGGGCCATCTTGAGCGTCTTGCAACCATCGTTCGGCGGGCCCTCTTGGACCTTCTTCGGAGCCTCTTGGGGCCCTCTTGGACGGCCCTGGTACGGCCCAGCAGGGCTGCATGACGCCCCAGGGGCGCCCAAGACGGCCCAGGAGGCCCCCACGACGGCTTCCAAAGGGGGTGCGTGAACCGAAATTTCGAGTTTTTCGCCCCATGAAGCTCCCCGAAGGCCCCAAGAAGGTGCCGGGACGGCCCCGGGCAGGCCTCAGTGGGTGCCGTAGGCCTCAGACGAGCGTCCTGAGAGGCCCAAATCTTTGATTTCCTGAGAAGTTTTTCAATGCTTCTGGGCTCCGCCACTCTTCAAGCTTCCGACGATCTACGACGACCCAAGAAGCCTCCCACACCGCCACAGGACGGGCTCCGAGGCGCCCAGGAGGGCTGGGACGGCCTAGCAGGGCTCCTTGGCAACGGCCCCAAGATAGCCTCAAGAGGGAGAGCATGAACCGAGATTTCGAGTCTTTCACCCCAAGAGGCTCCCAGAAGGCCCCCACAAGACTCCCAGATGCTGCCACGGGGCTCCAAGAGGTCCACAGCAGGCCCTCTCGACACCCCCCTCTATATATATATATATGTATATTTATGTATGTATGTCTATGAAATTGTATATATATTGATATGCACATACATTCGAATGTGAGTATGTAAGTGTATTTGTATAGGTGTATACGTATAAACGTATATACGTATGTGTATATGTTTATGTGTGTGTATGTTTATTTGTATACATTTACGCATACGTATATATACATGCATATATATGTACATATGAATGTATATGCGTGTGGGTATCTGTATATGTGTATGTGTATATATGTATGTATATGTATGCATACGTATATGTATATGTATTTCTATGTGTATAGGTGTGTGTATCTGTATTTGTAGGAGTGATCGTACATTTTCGTGTATGTTCATGTGCACATGCATGTGTATATATGTATATCTATATACACGTACATGTATATGTATGTGTATATGTGTATGAGCATGTATTGGCATATGTACATGTATGGGCAGACGACTATGTACATGTGTATGCATGTATAGTTGTATGTTTGTTTGTATATGTGTATGCATGTATTCATGTATGCGTATGTATGTGTATGCGTATGTTTGCATGTACATCTGCATGCATCTATGCATGCATGTCTGTGTGTATATGTGCGTGTCTGTACATTTTTATGTATGTATGTCTGCCTGTCTGTGTTTGTGCATGTATGCATGCATGCATGCATGCATGCATGCATGCATGCATGCATGTACGCATATTTGTGTGCATACATGAATGTATGCATGCATGCATGCATGCATGCATGCATGCATGGATGTAGGTATGGTATTGTATGGTATGGTATGGTATGGTATGGTATGGAATGTAATGGAATGGAATGTAATGACATGAAATGGTATGTATGTATGTCTGTATGTCTTTATGTCTGTATGTCTGTCTGTCTGTCTGTCTGTCTGTATGTATGTCTGTATGTATGTATGTACGTATGTATGTGTGTATGTGTGTATATACAATATTTGTATATCCTTTCAAATGAACCCGAAAGGAGGTTTGTGGGTTGGCGGGGGCCCCCGGCCCACCGAGGCCCCCGGGGGGAGGGGGCCCCGGGGCCTGGGGAGCCCCGATTTCAGTGTACGGCCTCGTGGCCCTTTCCCTGGGCGGCTCGTGGCCCTCCTGTGTACGTGCGGCAGGCTTTCAAATTGCTCCCAGGCGGCCGGAAGTTGCCGAAATATCGTTCCAAGACGCCCAGGATGGCCTCAAGACGGCCGAGGATTCCCCCAAGACGCCCCAAGAGACCCCCATGAGGACTCCCAAGAGGGCTTCAAGAGGTAGAAATATGGCCCCATCCCTTTCGGACAACGTATATTTTTTAATACTCGTTTCTGGAGCTTTCAGAGCATCCGAGACGGCCCGCGAGGCCTCCAAGGTCGTCCAAGACGGCCCAAGAGGCTCCCTCCAGGGCTCCAAGACCGTCCCAGAGAGCCCCAAGAAGGCCCAAGAGGCCCCCATGACATCCCATGAAGGCCCCAGGACGGCCCCAAGAGGGGGCCCAGAGAGGATACCCGAACTGATATTTCAAGCCTTCGGCCCCAATGCGCCCCCAGGAGGCCCCAGGAACCCTCCAGAAGGCCCCCTCTGTGGCCAGCCAGTCTGGCTCAAGGCACACATCGAAGGATCTTCTTCCGATAGTGCGGTTCCCAGGTTCTCCTCCCTTGCGCGAGCGTACCTATGCCAGGCGATGCAGAAACGCGCGAGCTGCTGGACAGCCCGTCGCCTCACGCGGAGGTGGCTGGAGCAACATACGAAACCCTCTGCAGCGGCCTGTTCTACCTCTCGGTCTTCCTGCTGCTGCTCCCGTTCTACCTGATCGTCTGGCTGTGCTGCGCGGGCACCTTCCAGCTTTGGGGTCTGCAGCGGCCCGATAACCTGATCGTCAAGCTGCTTCTGCCCATGCTCGGCGCCCTGGAGAGCAACACGGGGGCGGGGATGAGCAGGAACTTCTTCCGGGCGTGGCAGAAGTGGGGAGACACGTTCTGCACGTGCAATCAGGTCTGGATGGGCTCTTTCAGGGATGTTTCCAAGGCGTTCACCTCCCCACAGGCCAGGACCTTCAACCTCGGGGAGTCGGCCCTGCTCCCGGAGCGCCTGCCGGACAAGAAGAACACGAGGTGTGTCTTTCTCTTGGCCTTGTCAGATCAGGCAGCAGGTGGTAATGGATGGCACGAAGCTTTCCTCAAGTGCATGGTCGACTACACGCTGGGCGCCCAGGATGTTGCCACTCGCCGGAGCGATGCCACCGCCAATTCGCTGCTGGACACGTTAGTCCAGCAATATGAATCGATGCCGCATGGGCCCCAGGAAGAGTTCTGGACGTCACAAACTGGAGGCTGGATTCCTTTCGTGATCAAATTCTTGCACTATGTGATGTTTGGGATCGACCCCAGCAGTGAGGAGACCTTCAAGATACTGAGTGCCAAATATCTTGGGGCACTGGACAATCTACACTATTGGGTTGGCCTCCAGCCAGTGCCGCCGATCCGGGGGGGGTGAGAGCGAGATGATGTTGGAGGCTTCTGGAGCCGTCTTGGGGGCATCTTGGGCGGCTTGGAGCGATGTTTCGGCGAGTCGGGGCCCTCTTGGACCGTCTAGGGGGCCTCTTGGGCCTCTCTTAGCTTTTTCTTGGGCCGTCTTGTGCGGTCTGGGCTCTGGACTTGGGTCGTCTTGTGGCGCTCCTGGGCCGTCTTGGGCCCTTCGGGGGCCGTCTTGGAGCCCTCTTGGGGGCCTGTTGGCGTGTCTTAGGGAGCTCTGGGGCCGTCTTGGACATCGTGAAGGCCCAAGAAACGAATTTGCCGAAAATATACGTTTTCCCGAGGGAATGGATCCATTTGTCAGTCTTTGGGCATTCTTGGGAAGTGTCGTGAGGGATCCTGGGGACGTCTTGGAGGTTTCTGGAACTGCCTTCGGGGCATCTTGGGCGGTTCGAGCGATGTTTCGGCGATTCGGGGCCCTCTTGCATGGTCTAGGGGGCCTCTGGGGCCTCTCTTGGCTTCCTCTTGGGCTGTCTTGGGCGGTCGGGGCTCCGGAAGTGGAGTTTTCTATACCCCCCTGTCCCCGGGTACCAAAAAACGAAGGAAATGACGTCGGAAATATCCCCGTGTACCGAAAAACGTCGGAAATGACGTCGGAAATAACGTGCCCCCCCCCGCCCCCCTGCAGAGCGAAGCTTGAGCGAGCTCAAGTCCACGCTCTCAGAAACTCACGCCGGATCGGCGGATTTCAATCCTGTTGGTTGGTTGTATAACAACCAGCGAGAAATTGAGGCTGTATGTGCTGTCTATGAACAGTCACCAGCTTTCAAGGAGTTCAGGGATAACGTGTTGGAACATGCGGGCATGACTAGGCGTGAGGCGTGCTCTTTGCTGGCAGCCATTATGCGAATAGCAGGGGTAACAGGCACCACGGCGGCAGGCAATATTGTTATGGGCGGGCATGGGCTCCCCGGCTACAAGAGTGACTTCTCCCAGGGCCTTGACCAGACAAAGTTTTGGGACACAGTGGACCTTGATGACGAAGTGGAAGTCCGCAAGTACATCTTGGAGTGCCTTCGGCTGGATGCGCCAGTCTCCGTGACTCACCGTGTGGCCACCGAGAGCTTCACGACCGATATCGCGGGCAAGTCATACACGTTTCCCAAAGGAACCAGAATTGGTATGAACATTGGTCTTGCGAACATCGACCAGAAGAAGTGGGGCGAAACCGCCTACGAGTTTGACATGCAGCGCCCTGGTCTCCTCGAGAGCTACCTGTCTTTCAACTCGGTCGGAGGCAGCCATGCCGGACGAGAGTGCCCTGGCAAAGACTTGGTCCTTGGACTTCTCAGTGAGTTGGTGCGGAGGTTAGGCAAGGTGCGACGGCGGCAGCGTGCTGGAGGCGGCCCCTAGATGTCCCGAGTGCCTGCACGACACGAGGTCATCGTTCGAGGCATCCCGGATAGGGCGGAAGTGGATGCCAGACGTCCGGCGCTCCAAGTTTCTCGATGCATTACCCCTCGTCCCCCCCCTCCTCCTCCTCCTCCTCCTCCTCCTCCTCCTCCTCCTCCTCCTCTCCCTCCTCCTCCTCCTCCTCCTCCTCCTCCCTCCTCCTCCTCCTCCTCCTCCTCCTCCCTCCTCCTCCTCCTCCTCCTCCCTCCTCCTCCTCCTCCTCCTCCTCCTCCTCCTCCTCCTCCCCCTCCCCTGGCTGCTCGCTGCCCGATTGCCCGCGGGATGCGCGGGGGCCGCTGCCGCGAGCGCGGTCGGCTCCGTGCCGCTGCGCGCCCGTCGGCTCTCTGTGCGCTCCCGTGCGCCCGCGCGCCCCGCCGCTTTGTCCGCCCCTCGCCGTCCTCGATCTCGGCCTCCGTCGCTTTGGGCGAGCCCTCAGCTGACCAAAGATGACCGCCGAAACATCGCAAGAACAAACACAAAAAAAGAGGCTCCAAGAGGCCCCGAACAGGCCCCCAGGAAGCCCCAACCTCCAGTCCCAGGCTTTGGCGTGCCCCCGAGAGCATTTCCGTTTCCCCTTATCCCTCTCTGTCAGTTCTTCTTGATATCTCTCCTGCTCTTGGGTTTCTTGCGTCTCACGTTCCATATCCTTCTCTTTTCTCTCCACCTCCCTCCTCCCCGCTGCGCCATTTCCCCTCGTTCCCCCACCTCGTCTCTCCTTCACGCCTTCCTCTCTCCGCCTCCCTCATGTTGTTTCGGCTCCTACATCCCTCATCCCCATCTCTCCGTCACTTCTTCCTCCCTCCGCCTCCCTCGCCCAGCATCCTGCACCGCCATGTGGTAGGAGACCCAGCTTGACAAAAAAAGGGGAATCCCTCAAACCCTTTTTTTTCACGTCCTCCCCCCTGTGTTTCCTCCTGTTTCCAGACTTTGGCGTGCCCCCGAGTGCGTTTCCGCTTCCCCTCAGCACTCGCCGTCCCTTCTCCTTGTTCTCTCTTTCTTGCTCTTGGTTCTCCTGCGCCTCCCGTTTCACATCCACCTCCTTTCTCTTCTCTTCTCTCCTCCCCGCTGTGTCATTTTCCTTCCTACCCTTCTTCGTCTCTCCTTCGCGCCTTCCTCTCTCAGCCTCCCTCATGCGTCTTCGTCTTCCACACCCTTCGCTGTTTGTTTTCCCCGATCTCTCCCTTTCTCTCGGTTCTTCTGCGTCTCCCGTTCTTCGTCCCCATTCCTCTCCCACTCCCTTCTCCCCGCTGCGTCCGTTTCCCTCTTTCCTCCTCTTCGTTTCTTCTTCACGCCTGGTTGTTCAATGATTTTGACCTCTCGAGCGCTTACCCGTAGCTCTTGGGGGACTCATGGAGGCCTCTTGGGGCGATGTTGGGTGCTCTTGGGGGCCTCCAGAGCCACCTTGGAAAAAGGGAATTCCCCCCACATTCTTGTTTTCATGGTCGACCCCCCTCATCCGTTCCCTAGAGTCCCAGGTTTCTGCGTGCCCCCGAGTGCCTTTCCGTTTCCCTCATCCCTCGTTGTCTGTTCTCTTTGATCTTTCTCTCTCTCTCTCTTGCTCTTGGGTCTCTTGCGCCTCACTTTCCACAATTTCTCCTTCCTCTCTGCCTCCCTCCTCCCCGCTGAGTCGTGTTCCCTCCTCCCTCCACCTCGTCTCTCCTTCACGCCTTCTTCTTTCCCCCTCACTCATGCGTTTCCGTCTCCCCTCTCCCTCATCCTGATCTCTCCTTCACTCCTTCCTCCCTCCGCCGCCCTCACCCAGCATCCTGCCCCACTGAGTGGAAGGAGGCTCAGCTTGCAAATAAAAGGAGTTCCCCAGATTTTTGTTTCAAGGCCCTCCCCCTTTGTTTCCGCCAGTCCCAGGCTTTGGCGTGCCCCCGAGAGCGTTTCCGTTTTCCCCATTCCTCGCTGCCCGTTGTCCCTGATCTATTTTTCCTGTTTTTGGTTCTCCTGCACCTTCCGTTCCACGTCCACCTCCCTTTTTTCTTTTTCTCTCCTCTCCGCTGCGTCATTTTCCCCCCTCCATCTTCCTCGTCTCTCCTTCACGCCTTCGTCTCTCCCCCTTCCTCCTGCGTTTCTGTGTCCCCCACCCCTCGCTGTTCGTTCTCCCCGATCTCTCCCTTGTTCTTGGTTCTCCTGCGTATCTCGTTCCACGTCCTCCTCGCTCTCCCAGCCATCCCCTGCTTCCTCTTGCCCCAGGCTTCGGCGTGCGTGCCCCAGAGCGTGTTTCCGTTTTCCCCATCCCTCGCTGTTCGCCTCCGCCTGCTTCTTTCCCGCTGCGTCGTTTTCTCCGAACCCTCCCCATCGTCTCTCCTTCACGCCTTCCTCTGTCCGCCTCCCTCATGATGCTGTTTCGGCTTCCCAACGCTGCAACACGGCCCAAGAGGTCCCCAAGACAGCACCAAGGCAGCCCATGAGATCCCCGCGACGGCCCGAATACGACGAAAGAGAGCGCCAAGACGGCCCCAGATGCCGTCATGACGGTCCAAGAGGCCCTCAAGACGGCCTCAAGACGGGGGCAATAGCGGGGATCCAAACCGATATTTCGAGACCAGATGCCAAGAGCCCAGGGGAGGCCCCCGAAGCGCCCCCAAAAAGTCTTAAGAGACCACCAGGAGAGCCCAAACCCAAACCCGAGATGCCCCACCACCCCAAACCCCCAAGAGCCTTCAAGACCGTCCCCCACAGGCATCCAACAATACTCACAGCATGGTCTTGCCAGGCTCTCAGGGGGTTCTCGGGCATCCGCCTGAGCCTGCCCTGTGTCCTTTTTTTGGACGCCTTGCGCAACTTCCTGGAGCGCTTATTCAGCGTCTCCTGAAGCATCCACCAGGAAGTTCGCTCCCATATAGTGACCCTTGCCGGATGATGTCCATTCTCATCCGATCTTGTGTGGTTGGCTAGGACTGCGCTAGAATCTAGGCGCGCGCGAAGCGCGCGCGTGGTTCTAGTATATATATATATATATATGTATGTTATATATGTATGCGTACAACAAATAATGATGGGGAGGGGGTCCCGGGGGCCCTGGAGTGGACTGATTTGTTTTTCGGCCGTTTTGGACCCGTCGGGGGGCGCCAGAACGCGTCAGAGGAGGGAAAGGGGGGCGACGAGAGGGCCCGAGGGACGTGCAAGAGGGCGCCAAGATGGCCCAAGAGCGCTCCAAGAGAGCCCAAGACCGCACAAGAGCGTTTCAAAATTGGTCCAACATGGCTTGAAGACAGCCCAAGAGGGCCTCAAGATGGCAAAGATGTCCTCAAAAGGACTCCCACGAGGCACTCAGGAGGCGAAAACAGTAGGTTTTTCCAACGGGTTTTGAAGGTTTTTCGTGTTCTCGCTGTTTCGTGCTTCCGACGGTCCAAGACAGCCCACGAGGCCCCATAAGTCAGCTCAAGACGGCTCGAGAGGCGCCAAAAAAAGGCGCCACGACGGCGCAAGAGAGTCCCAAGACTGCCCAAGAGTGCCCCAAGATGGCCCAAGAGGCGCCCAAGATCGCCCAAGACGGCCCCAAGAGGGGGAACACGAACCGACAATTCGAGCCTGCCGCCCCAAGAGGCCCCCAGAAGGCCCCAAGAGGCCCCCAAGAGAGCCCAAGAGGCCCCTAGAGGCCCCTTAGAGGCCCCCTAGAGGCCCCACGAGACCCCAAAGAGGCCCCAAGAGAGACCCCAAGAGCACCCCAACCGGCCCCCAAGAGGCCTCCAAAACTGCCTTCAAGATGCTCCCGGGAGGCCTCCCACGAATTCCCAACGAACTTCCAAGAGGCCTCTAGCCCACAACCCAGGCACGGTGGCGGGATGGCCGAAGGCCACTAGACAGTCCAAGACGGCCTCCAGGGCCAAAAAGGCTCCCAAGATACCCAAGAGGCGTCCAAGACGTTTCCCCAGAAAGCTCGAAGAGGCCAACACACACTGATTGGCCTTAGGTTTTTGATCAATTGTGGCGTTTCCGCCTGTTCTGCTTCCCGACGCTGCAAGACGCCCCGAGAGGCCCCGAGGATCGCCCGAAGACGGCCTAGTAGGCTTCAGAAGCGCCCACAGACGGCTCCAAACTAGCCGAATAGACGTCCAAGCGGCCCGAGAGGGCCCCAACCGCGGCCCAGGATTGGGAACGTGAGCCGAGAACCCGCGATCTTCGCCCCAAGAGACCCCAAGAGGTCCCCAAGAAGCCCCAAAGAGCTCCAAAAGAGGCCCCGAGGATATCGAAAAAAGAGGCCCCGCAGCTTGGCTACAATCGCGCGGAACAAAAACAGAGGGCGCGCCGCTGGATCTCCCCAAGTGGAGGGTGGATGGAAACCCCTCCCCCCCCTCCTTTCCCCGATCCGTTGTCGGGGACCCCCCCCTCCCCCCCTTTCCCGATCCGTCGTCTGGGACCCCCCCCCCTCCCCCCCTTTCCCAGTCCGTCGTCGGGGAACCCGCCCCTCCTCCCCCCTTTCAAAAGGGGGGGGGGGTCGACCCCCCCCCCTACCCCCCTTTGGCCGCCAAATTCGACCCCCCCTCCTTCCTACCTTTCGCCACGGCGCCCGCGGGGCTCCGGAACCCAACCCCTCTACCCTTAAAGTTAATCTGCACCCTTACCCTAACCCCTAACCCGAGCCCCAAACCCTAACCCTAGCCCCAAACAGTACTCACTATTCATTACGCACTACTCACTACCGACTACTCACTACTCGCTACTCACAACTCACGACTCACTACTCACTACCCACTACTCATTTCCCACTACCCTCTATTCACTGTTCACTACTCCGTACTCCCAGCTCACTACTCACTACTAACTATTTGCTATTCACCACCTACTACTCAATACTTATTACTGACTAAACAAGTCACTACCCACTACTCACTACTCACTAATCGCTACTCCCTACCCACTACTCACAACCCACTACTCACTACTCACTACTCACACTTCACTACCCACTACTCACTGCCCATCACTCACTATTCACTATCCACTATTCGCTACTCGCAACTCCCTACTCCTTACACAGTTCTCACTACTCACTACTCACTACTCGCTATTCCCTACACCCTACTCGCTACCCAATACGCACTATTCACTACCCACTACTCACTACTCAGTACGCACTACTCATTATTCACTACCCCCTACTCCCTACTCACTAGTCACCAGT